GTATATATATGATTAATATTTGAGAGAAATGGTTCATGCACTCATCATAAGAATGCATGCACTGTACATGTATATATACACTCAAGGCAGATCCTAAATACTAGGAATTTTATTTTCTTCCAAGTAACATGGCATCTTAAATTCCTAAGCTAAAGGTTACGGAAACATATAGAACTCTGTAAAATGCACGTGCATGCATGCATGTGTAAGCTTGAGAAGTGACGTGTCATCCATGCTCAATTAATGCACCGGATGCGCGGCAACATATATGTCATTAATTTTGATTTTTGAAGTTACATCCTAGTCTATGAGGAAGCTTGATGACTTCAACTAGGCCAAATCCCCAATCTCGAAATTAAATTTGAAATGTGTCACAAAAAATTAAACCTCTGAATAAATCAGACAACATTGCACGAGGGGGGCTAGCAGGACCAAGTTCTTGACCTTCGTTTTATTATCATCTAATATTTGCTATGTTTATCTCGTTACAAGATGTGGGTCCATAAATACTCCTTTCGGCGAATGGTGGGCTTCGATTCAAGTGGTGAGTCCTATTCTAGATTAGGGTTGGATTTAGAAGAGATCATATCATTCAGATTGAATTGGTACAAAACTTTTCCCTTTGTCCTATCATGCACAAAAATTCTCTTTTTTGTTTTCCTTGTCCGAAAAGTATATATATGCTATTGAAATTTGTTTGCTGTCGACAGTGGCAGATCGAATCTTCCTACATGATCTCTCCTCTGCCATCCATATATAATCGATCAAATACTAATTTTTATGAGCTTTTCATGGCACAAAATGTTTTGAATCATTAAGAATGGGGAGTTTCTCAATCAATCATTCAAGAAAAAGGCATGCTAATTAAAAACCCCCCCACTTGTTGCGTTTTCCCCCCCTCTCATATTGTGTAAGTCACTTCCAATTGAACGTAAAGAATCTAAAGCTCTCCTCAAATAGTTGATGGTCCCTTTTTGTTGATGGGAAGTATGAGACATATCATGAACTATGAAGCTGCTATCAATGAGGGATCAACTGTGGCCATTAGGGATCAACATGGAAGGCTTTGGAGCGTTTCGTTTGACGCTTGGAAAGAGAGAGAACGAGCCTTGACCTGGACCTTTTTGGTCACGCCACTAGAAGTTTTTAAGGCTGAGCGAGGTTTTATGATTTGGCTGTGCACGCAGAATAAATCATGCTCTCCGATTTCATAGCAAACAATCACTTCATCCAAATTTAAGCTAATATATGCGGACTAGACAATCCATATCGTCAAGCATGTTTGTCCAAAATCTTGACGCGGACACATGACCCTTGACGCCATTTAATTAAATAACTAGATCATCAAGCATTTTCGTCGAATATGCCCAAATATCAAATCACGTAGCATAATCATCTTGTAACTTCATGAGTGCTTCTAGAGTAACTTTGTTCATATGAGGCACTGTTAACTAGGAATTGTAACTGGAGCCTAGCTTTATCCCAAAAGCTTGACACTGCTCTTATCTCAAATACCCTTTTGCGCGTAACGCCCTTATCTCAAATATCAAATCTCGCACAGTGACATGAAGTCGCATAATGCTCGTTTTGAAACTAGAGCTACAAAAATTCAACAAAAGCTCCACTTTAGCACAAAACCAATTGTCGGATCAAGTGCCCTAACCCTTGCCATCTCATCAATCCCCATCAAAATCCTAACATCCATCCAATCCAATCCAATCCAACCGTCCGATCCGCTATCCGAGGGCGGCCGAAGCCCTGTTTGGATCTCACATAAAAGTCCGTAGAAAAGGATTAGACTAATCATATCGTCATCAATATAAAAATGACGTGAATGTTGTTAAAGAAAGCAATCTCAGTTGCTGACATGTGTTGATGGGATGGGTAGGTAATTGACTTCATAGGACACACATGTCCATTAGAAAACAGCTGCATTAAACTTTTATTTTTTAATGGTTCTAACAATTTGTTAACAGCGATCCCGCGGCGTGTAGCTTAGCTGTTGGCTACGTGGCATACACTGATTAGTTTTTTAAATCTACAGAGGGGGAATCAATAATATTACTTCCGAGTTCCAATGAGCGTTAGGTTCGGCTTCCTGCTTAGCTGGATTACCGAAGCATCTCTTGCATTGTACTTGGTATTGCAGTCTTTCTTTACCCCTTCCGTATAGAAACGTAAGCGGTAGATTAATTTACGTATATGACTTTGCTCCGCTGCAGCTTTCATTGTTTGTTACCGACACATGGAGCATTTGTGTACAGGCTGCTGGGGATCCAAATTGAGGGTAAATTTCACAAAATACCCCACTGAAAATTTGAAGCAGACAACGGAGATGCATATAGGGACAGTATTGGACTCATCAAGATGCACATTATTCAGAAGTAGCTATAATACTACTGTTACACGCTCCAAACCATCATAATAACAATTGCGAAAATCTCTAAAACAAAACATCGCAATATGGAAAGAAAATCCAGAATCAAGAGGAACTCATAGCGTCATTATAGTGAACAAGAGTTGGTTCCTAAGAACATGGAACAGAAACTATTGCCGCAGAGAAACTCATATTGCTGGGACAATAATCTAACCTCGAACATTTAACCCTAACCTTTCACAATGCCTAACAAATAAATATTGCACATACAAAAATAAGTTTCGATGGCATCAGCAACGAAACAAGCATGGAAGACTCCTCCTTGTGCTGAGATCATGTTCCTTCCTGCCTCTCCCATCAGAAATCACTAGTAGCCATAGCCTGCTAGGACACAAAAAGATTTTTTTTTAAAAAAGGTGAAATATTGTTGGAAAATAAAGCTACCACAAGCTCAAATATTTTTCTGAGATTGCATAGCACCTGAGTTGTCCATTGGATTCCCTGCAGGTATAGGCTCAGGCTCCTTGATATCAACCACCACAACATCTGATGTTAAGAACGTTTTCGCAACTGACGCAGCATGGCTCAGGCTCCTTGATATCAACCACCACAACATCTGATGTTAAGAACGTTTTCGCAACTGACGCAGCATGCTCCAAGCAACATCTTACCACCTGGATTTTCATCTGATGTTAAGAACGTTTTCGCAACTGACGCAGCATGCTCCAAGCAACATCTTACCACCTGGATTTTACAAACGAATATCACTCATATTCTAATTTTCAAATCGGCATATTATAAAATGGGTCATGAAAGTTATTTAAGAACTTCAAGGAAGAATTTTTAAGAACTTCAATATCTGGACACCAATAATCGTATATCAAGACAGGGCCCCAGACTAAAACTCCACTAGACAAATTGAATAAGCAGTATTAGAGGATTGTATAGTCCAGCCAGAATATCCATCTAATTTTTCCAAGAAGGCACAGCAAATATTAACTACAAGTTAGCAAACAGATGCAATTACCTCCAGTCCTAGAAAATTCACCGATGATGAGTGATAAGTGGCTATCTTTTCCCAATTGAAAGTGGCATGCAACGATTTTGATACACTTAACATTCACATGGCCCTAAACCATTTGAGATTAATTATCATCATAATTATCAATCATCCAAGTCTCTCATCAAAACAGGGCTCTACTGGCAAGCAGGCGATTAATTTCCCCTGGATAAGAGCCTAGAAGCAAAATGACATGGTTGCTAAGGCATGATAATACTCCAAAAACCAGTGAAACACATGCCCGTCATATAATTAAAACCTACTAGAAAAAAATTAAGATGTCATAGTGCATAAAATAATACGTCAAAATTTTCATAAGAATTATTTTTTTAACTTCTACAGAACTTTTGCATGCCAAAAGATACCATAACAAAAATTCTTGAAGAAATAGAAAATCAGAAAAAGAATAACATGCGTAGAATAGTAGAGGTCTTCATAAGGGGGTTGCATATGAATAGAAGTCAGAACCTCACCAAACTTGCTTCCAAAACGACTGTGTAAATGTATAGGAGCAACAGAAGTATACATGTCAGTTCATTCAAATGTTTTATGCCACAAATAAGAACTGCATACCTTTGTGGGATCAATTATCCCAGCAGCCATCAAGTCCTCATACTTTCCAGTGGCAGCATTATAACCATATTTGGGGTTGTCATTAGAAAGCACCTAATGAAACAAGCAAGTAGTCAACAATGTTAGCTTGAACAAGTAATGAACAAAGAAACTATGTTTCCATGGAAAGCAAGACTGTACCTTCTCAGTGACAACACTTCCATTAACTCCAGCATTCTTGGCAATCAATTTCAATGGATAGATCAATGCCCTTTTGACAATATCTGCTCCTACCTATATGTTTATCCAATAACAGCATGAAAAATCTAAGTCATTCTTTATTTGTGATAATTAAAAGAAGATCCTAAGCAAGTGGCATCAATGAAGGTTAGCTAGTAACTCCTTGTAGGCGTCAAAAAATGCTTACAGACATCTAAATATCACTCAAGGCAAGCCGCTCTATTAATCAGAAGGGAATGATTCAAAGGAAGCAAAACAACATGGAAGAACATGTACACACCAACAAATAGCGCTTGGTTTCGCGGCTCCGGCGTGGCAGCTCATGGCGCCGCGGCCATGGCGCGGCAGCATATGGTGCCACGGCTAAGGCGCGGCAGCATATCGTGTCACGGCTAATGCGCGACAGCCTAAGGTGCAGCGGCTATTATAGGGCGTGCTATGGTGGTTACAAGGCAGTTATATGATGATTATTTGAAGTCCGCTTAGGGCCTTGAGTTTTGGTGAATTAGAGCAAGAGAGAGAGTCTTCCTTCTTCACAAATATCCTCAAGAAGCTTTTAGCGATTCCTAGAGATCTAAGCTCAGACTTGATCTTTGGAAGAGTGAACATCTTACATCGATAAGATATTCGCTTTCAAATTCTTACTTCGATAAACGAAGGAAGAATTCCCAAAACCTTCACGATTCAATCAGAATCTATGAATCGGTGGTCCACGGGCTAACGCACCTCCGGCACAGGCAAAGATAAAGTTATAATTTTCCTTTTGTTGTGTAAAAGAGGTCTTATAAAAAGACTATTTCTTTTGAATTTATTGTAATCGACCGAAGATATAATGAATTCTACAGCAAAACTAACTTTTGACGAAAACAAACTGGCGACCACAGTGAGAGCCAACGGTCTCGCTGTCGAGACCGTCGTGTCGCAGCCGATCAAGATTTCAGTTGAATCCATGGTCGAATACGAATTCGACCAAACCAAGTTTGAGGAATATCTCTCATCATCCTCTTCAAGATCTTCATTGTCTCGCAAGTACAAGAGGATCTCATCATTGAAGAAAACTTATATGCCAAAGAAGGCTAAAAGTGAAGACTCTCGTCCAATCGTTGTTGAGGCCTTGCCTCGCAACATTATCCCGGCGACCCACAAAGTCGGAAACTCTGCTCATAATGATTCCACCCTAATTAAGGAGTCGTTCGATCGAAGTTCACCAACTCTGACGAAGAGGGCTCGTCAGAGGTGACGCCAACGCCGCGCTCGTCAAATAGCTAAGGCCTTGGAACAAACCGACGGGATTCGCTATCACGCGGACTTAGAGTCGAGGAGGCATCGAGTGATTCAGTTGTCCCAACGACCAATAACTCATACCTCTGTTAAACTAAAGACGGATGAATGGACTTTTGTCGAGAGGGCTTGCTCAACCCTCGAAGAACGTATATAGAAGCGTCGTGCAAACGCTGCTTATGCATATACTCTCTTACAAAGACGAGAAGGAAAGAAGAAAACGGTGGCAACCACCAAAATTCTACAAAGTTTGGATTCCGAAGTCTAGAGTTGTGCAAAATTAGCATTTGGAGCCCGTTAAGACTCCGCACCCACAAGGGGGTGGTTCTAAACGTGCGACTCCCGACATAACCTTGGATCGCTCAAAGATAGTAATAAATTATCCTGAGAATGCCAACAAGGTTTTATATCCCCAGAAGAAGACGCATTCACCAAAAGACATCGTCATACCTGGGAGGTCATACCAACAGACGATAAGATTTTCCGGCAATCATACCGATGAATCATACTATCAAGCTGGGGGTATGAACAAAATTCGAAAGAGAACTGTCCGGGAAATGAACTCTCATTGTTCCTGTGCGCGACTCATTAGAGCAATGCTATCAGAATGTGACTGTTTCAAACGAGAAGTCATTCCACTAAGAGTCTCGGTATTCCACAGTCTTTTCACCGAAATGTCGAAGCCTAAGCCGAGACATTTCCGCAAGAGAAAATCAGCTGCCCAAGATGATGAATTCCCTGAAGTCACCATTAACGTGACTGGTAAAAGAAAGTCTAAGCGGCATTCAAGTGCCTCAAATCCCGATTTTTTCCCGAAAGAAAAAGTCAATCCAAGAACTGCTCAAATGATGTCTCGACTCCAATTAGGAGCCATCAGACGCAGAGATTACAAAATAATGCAAGGAATGTCATCGGAGGATGAATTCTCGGACACTTGTTCTGCAATCGCTTCTGATGATACAATGTCTAGCACGGGACAAACCAGAGAAGTACTCACGATCACCTCTGATTAATTTGCTCAAATGCTTCAAGAAGCTCTGACGAAGCAACATGAAGAAATTAGAGCTGAAATGAAGACAGAGATGGAGTTAGCTATCCAACAAATGAGAGAATTGCTAACTCAACGGTCTCAACCTCCTGAGTCCAGTCAGCGAGCTGAATCCAGCCGTCGCACTCAAAATATTACAGATGACAGTGTTTTCGCCAAAAGTCGAATTTGTTGTTACACCTCCCAATAGCAATAACGCTGGGGGTGGTTTAACACATCCTCCCAATAACGATATTGGGGGTGGTTCAATGGCACCTCTTACAGGGGATGGTCTAACTCATTCTCCTCAACGTCCTTTGAATGAAGACATAGACGATGACGGAAAAATAAAAGAGCTTGAAAACAAAGTCAACACTTTGATGACGGCTCAAGAAGTAAAAAAGACGGGTATTCCATGTCCCTATCCAAGAGAATGGGGATGACGGCTCAAGAAGTAAAAAAGACGGGTATTCCATGTCCCTATCCAAGAGAATGGGATTCAATACCATACCCATCAAAATTCAATCTGATTAACTTCACACCGTTTGAGGGGAAGAGTTCGCCGATTCAGCACTTGATTTATTTCAAGTCTCATTTGGGTATGATCTCCGGAAACGATGCTTTAATGGTCCGATCATTCGTTAGCACCCTTCGTGGGCCCGCCTTCGATTGGTACCGACGTCTCAAACCAGGGAGCAGCAATTGCTGGAATGACATGGAAAGTTTATTCCTCAGCAATTTCTTCGATGATGACACCGAAGTGTCAATCGGAACCCTTCTGGATGAGAAGCAAAAAAAAGGAGAGTCGGTCGATAATTTTGTCAAGCGCTTCCGTAACAAAGCAATGAATTGCAGTGATCCTATTACAGAGGAATTTATCCTGCAAACATGCCACAATAATCTCTCCATCGATGTCCTGGAAGCTCTGGGTGTCGTACCATCCAAAACTTGGAAAGAGTTGAAATTGCGCGGTGAACAAGCTGAACACTTTCTTAAAAGAAAGAAAGCTGAGAGAAGCCGACCGACGACATCTGCAATCGCTGGAAACGAGACTCCCGATCCGAGGTTTCAAAAGGAGTATTCTTTCGAAGATGATGAAGCTCCAGCCATATTGGAATATCTCCTCGCCAATGATAAAATCGAGCTACCGCCTATTAAAGATCAGGAGGGTGCTAAGATGATTACAGATCCAAACTACTGTGCATACCACAGAAGGATTCTTCATCCCACCAATATTTGCTTTGGACTCAAAAATAAGATCCAAGCATTAATTGACTCCGGCGTCATAATGACGAAACAAGCCAAATAAAGACGACCCCATATAACTCCAGTGGGTGCACGAGTATAAACTGTTTCCCCTCACTCCAAAGAGTATACGAGTATAAACTGCTCCTCGATACTCCAATAGGTATATGAGTCTAAACTGTTCCCACTCTTGACGAGAAGTTCCTGGAGAATTTTTACATGTAATATTCTTAAGGATAACCCGGTCATGTAACTCAGTATGATGTTAGACCCAGTTTCGCGAAGGAAGCTGGGGGTGGATGGTTCATGTAACGGGAAGTTCTCGGAAGAATGCTATATGTAATTTTCTTAGGGATAACCCGATCATTACAAACAAAGTGATAAACACTACATCCCCACGTTGATTTCTGAATACTCTTTTGCTGAGATGAGATTTGATCACTTCGTTGGATCAATCTTTCCTCACAAAATTCTCACATGGTCAAACCTTTAAACAGTTAGGACCAAAGCCAAAATCCCCTCTCAATTCCTTTTATGAACGAGAGGTCCACAAATTGAACGATCAAACCTTTAAACAGTTAGGATCGTCTCAAGTCTCCATTTGGTCAAACCTTTAAACAGTTAGGACCAAAACCAAAATCCCCTCTCGATTCCTTCCATGAACGAGAGGTCCACAAATTGAACGATCAAACCTTTAAACAGTTAGGATCGTCTCAAAACTCCCACTTGGTCAAACCTTACTACAGTCAGGACCATAACCAAAATCCCCTTTCGATTCATTTCATGAACGAGAGGTCCACTTTCAGTTGAATAATCAAACCTTATGACAGTTAGGATTATTCAAACCAGTCCAGATTCTCTAAGTGGAGATCCCACTTTGAGTTTCTTTTGCACCAGGAGATAGAATATAAAATTCTTCCTCTCCATCATCGGGTTCATCTCTACCAACAAACAAGAGACCAGGAGATAGAATATAAAATTCTTCCTCTCCGATTTCGGGTTCATCTCTACCAACAAAAATTGCACCAGGAGATAGAATATAAAATTCTTCCTCTCCAATTTCGGATTTATCTCTACCAACAAACAAGAGACCAGGAGATAGAATATAAAATTCTTCCTCTCCGATTTCGGGTTCATCTCTACCAACAAAAAAGAGACCATATTACTCCAATGGGTGCACGAGTCTAAACTGTTTTCCTAGCCTCAACAGGAAGTTTCTGGAGAATATTACTCAAAATATTCTTAAGAATAACCTGATTACCTCTCAACGGGTATATGAGGTTAAACTATTTCCCGAACACTCCGATGAGTATACGAGTATAAACTGCATCTCCTTGAACCTCCCAACGGGTATATGAGGTTAAACTATTTCTCGAACACTCCAATAGAGTATATGAGTATAAACTATTTCTCCAATCTTTAACAACAGTTCTGATTCAAGACTTCGACGACGGCCACGCGATAAACGCTGCACCGGAGGAATCTTAGCTATCCTACAAAGTACTGAATAGACCAAAAGATAAAGAAGTCAAGGATTGAAGCCATCCATAAACTATGTTACGCAACTTCCTCAACAAAGTACTGAAGAAATTGTAAAGAAAATTTATCATATCCAAAGTGTCCCAGACTCCTCTCCAAAAAATAATGAGTCTGAGATACTTTGGAGGGGGTATCTGTAGGCGTCAAAAAATGCTTACAGACATCTAAATACCACTTCAAGGCAAAGAGAAGACGATAAACGTCATTCTCTTAATCAGAGGGGCTTGGTGTCGCGGCTCCGGCGCGGCAGCTCATGGCGCCGCGGCCATGGCGCGGCAGCATATGGTGCCGCGGCTAAGGCGCGGCAGCATATCGTGCCGCGGCTAAGGCGCGACAGCCTAAGGTGCAGCGGCTATTATAGGGCGTGCTATGGTGGTTACAATGCAGTTATATGATGATTATTTAAAGTCCATGTGACGGCATATCAGAGATAGAACGTATGCTGACGTGGACAAACAGTTAAACCACGAAAAATGTGGTTAAAGGTCGTGGGAGAACTGTTTCAAGCACGATGGAACGTGCTGGTAACTGCCTCTTTGGCCGCGGCAGTCCACACTGCCGCGCTAATAGCCGCGGCAGTCCACACTGTCGTGCCAATAGCAGCGGCCAAAGAACAGCCATCTGGTTGGTTATTTCACCTCCGTTTCAACTGTTGTGCACTCATACCCCTATAAATACATTCCTAGACACGAAATAAAAAAGGGGAGAGCAGATTGGAGCTTAGGGCCTTGAGTTTTGGTGAATTAGAGCAAGAGAGAGAGTCTTCCTTCTTCACAAATATCCTCAAAAAGCTTTTGGCGATTCCTAGAGATCTAAGCTTAGACTTGATCTTTGGAAGAGTGAACATCTTACATCGATAAGATATTCGCTTTCAAATTCTTACTTCGATAAACGAAGGAAGAATTCCTAAAACCTTCACGATTCAATCAGAATCTGTGAATCGGTGGTCCACGGGCTAACGCACCCCCGGCACAGGCAAAGATCCCACGCAAGCAGCGATCCAAACAACGATCCTGCGTTTGTTTCTAAAAAGTTATAATTTTCCTTTTGTTGTGTAAAAGAGGTCTTATAAAAAGACTATTTCTTTTGAATTTATTGTAATCGACCGAAGATATAATGAATTCTACAGCAAAACTAACTTTTGACGAAAACACTCCTCAAGCCCAATTTGTTTTTATCTTTTAAGTAAAGGAGACATAACCTAAGAACCCAAATGCAGAAAGATTACCTTTTGCTCATCATTTTCTAGAGTTTCCTTGATGGCGTCAACCTTAGATGCAAGCCTCAGAAGTGTACATCCACCACCAACAACAATACCCTCCTCAACAGCAGCCTGTGTATAAATGCAAATGAGTATATAGTAGTGATATACAACAATAACATTTAACGTTATAGCCACTAACCCCAACCCCTTACCTCACCCAAAAAAAAGGCCTACCACCCCAAGATAGTAGATCTAAGCTTCTCATTCACTATGTTATTTGAGTGTTGTAAACAAAATTTATATTTGCAAGTAAAGCAAGACTGTATCCAAACTTCGTCCTTTACATAGAGTAGTTACAAAGGAAAAAGAATCAGGCCACGGTTCACAGTACACCTGTTGTACGTTACATGTAGGAAGAGAGCAATGAAAAGCAACCTCCCAGAAAATTTACCTTAGTAGCATTCAATGCATCTTCCACTCTCAGCTTCTTCTCTTTTAATTCAGTCTCTGTTTGTGCTCCAACCTGAGAAATTTTCAGTCTTTTACATAAGAATCTAATATATTTTTAATAAATTATGGCCTAATTGTTAGAATATTTTCAGGTAAATGAACAAAACCTGAATAACAGCAACACCACCAGAAAGTTTTGCTATTCTCTCATTTAGTTTTTCTCTTTCATATTCTTGTTCAGCAGCCTGAATCAAGAAACAGATAAGATTTTTCACAAGAGGTCTAAAACCATCCATGGTGTATGTAAAACAAGACATTAAGTATGCACCTCTATCAAATTTCGGATCTGTCCAACTCTTTTAGCTACTTCTTCTTGGGTGCTTCCATCACCAACTATGGTGGTTGAATCTTTAGTTAGCACAACTTTAGCTGCAGTACCCAAGACCTCTTTGTCAGCCTTTTCCAATGTCAGTCCAACTTCATCTCTGATTACAGTTCCTGCAAAAAGTAAAGAAAGCAGAGATACAAATTCAGGTAACACAAAGATTGAAAGTAAAACCTACAATAAAGTAAGACCTACAAAAACAAATAGTACAACCTCCAGTCAATATTGCTATGTCATCAAGATATTGACTTTTGCGCTCCCCAAATCCAGGAGCTTTAAGCGCAGCGATCTTGAGGGACCCCCTTAATTTATTTACGACAAGGGTGGCAAGAGCTTCCTGTTCAATATCTTCAGCAATTATCAAGATCGGATATCCACCCCTTATGGCGTCTTCCAACACGTTGATCAGATCTCTTGCATTTGTAATTTTCTTGTCAACAAGAAGCAACTGAACAGAAAAATTGACAAAATAATCACTTACTTAGTTCATGTCAGTACTCAGAAGAAAACAGATATTAAACTAAAAAAACATAAACCATGTCGTAACCAATTTAGAAAAGATCTCAGCAACAGACCTTGCAGTTCTCATATTCAACTGACATCTTTTCACTGTCAGTTACGAAGTAGGGGGACAAATATCCACGATCAAATTGCATTCCCTCTACAACATAGAGGTTGTTTTCTGCACTTTTACCCTCCTCGAGCGTCACTACACCTTTCCTACCAACCTTACTCATAGCCTCAGCTATCATGTTTCCGATCTCATAGTTGTTTCCAGCACTAACTGCAGCTACATCTGCGAGCTCACTGTCTTCAACCTAAACCATCAAACTACAGAAGTTGATAAAACTGCCCGCATGTAAATACACACAGGGACACGAACCTCTCAAGGGGTTTTGAAAATGCAGCTTATACAATCATGAAAATAACAAACTTAACGTGAAGTTCATCACTAAAAGGCAAGTTTCCTTTCAAAAAGGTAATATACCTCCTTTGAAATGAGCTTGAGTTCAGCAACTAAGCCTTTAGCTGTTTTCTCTATACCTCGGGTAATTTGAACAGGGTTGGCACCAGCTGCAACCACCTAAAAATTTCAAACTGATTTAGCTACAGAACGAGTTCAAATTGTCAAGTATAGACATTTACTAGAGGGAAGGGAAATATTCAACACACCTTGACACCTTCAGCAATTAGACCTTGAGCAAGGACAACTGAAGTTGTGGTCCCATCGCCAGCCAAGTCATTGGTCTTTGCAGCTGCTTGTCTTACCAACTTGGCACCAATGTTCTCCACTGGGTCCTCCAACTCGACCTACAAAAACAGTGTCAAAGTCTCTCACAATACCCAAATTCCAGGTCACCAAACTATATGAGAATCGCACTTGAACATGTACTATTGTTATTTCAAATTTCAATAGCTATTCATGACTACCCTCAATTTATTTACAAAAGCAATAGATGGCCAATTTGGATAAAGTTTTCACTGTACAAAAATATAAGCACATAGAGTACAACGGGTGGAAATTCAGAATGCAGACTAATATCATATGGGAAAGAAAGAGCTAAAGAACTTCCGGGTCCTTCAATACACAACTATTCAGAATGAACAACAAACCAATAACTAAAAAGAACAGCCAGCACACCGAACCATGGAATATGTGGCTTTTAGCCATGTATACAATTACTTGCAGCTGCATATTCAAAGCATATACATCGTACAAGGTAGTACTGAACAGACAGATTTCTCACCGATATTAGACATTTAAACCTTTCCCCAAAAAAAGACATTTAAACCAAACCGTCACAAGTTATTATTAGTGACCATTTATGCCAAATTGTTAATGATGCTTGTCAATTATTAGGTACACTATTCAGGGCACAATTGGACGACATACCTCTTTAGCCACTGTGACACCATCATTAACAATCTTTGGGGACCCATATTTACTTTCAAGAACAACATTTCTGCCTTTTGGACCTAAAGTAACCCCAACAAGATCTGCAAGCTTGTTAACACCGGTCTGAAACAAAGAGAACAAAGTAAATGGTCCAGATCAGGTCTAACAACCTCCCTAACATGCAGAAGCCCCATGCCGGGGGAAAAAAGATTAGATACTGACTTGCAGCTTCTTAATAGCTGACCCATCCTTATTAAAATATAGCTCTTTCGCCATTGCCCTGATCTGAGAGTTGCATCGTTTCTGTAGACGGAAGTTCTGCCTCCTGCTACTTAAAGAACTAGAAGAAATCGAGGCAAAAGAAGATAGCTGGGACGGCCTCCCTGTAAGGGCTGAGAGCTTCTTTTCAGCTGCAAGGCCGCTAGAGGCAGCAAAAGAAATAGTACTGCAAGTGGATGCCATTACCTGTTGACCAAAATAGAGAAAAGACGAACAAATAGCAGTATTTAGCTGTGAATTTTAGCAACAGGAAAAGAAATAAAACATAGTTGTGAGTGGCACGGAGGATCATGAGGCTGACATGTTAGCTATTCTGCACTAGACCTATTATAAGCATTAGAATGGTGACTTAGTACATCCTTTATATCAGGCAATAATATGTTAATTCTTCAAGTAAACAGCATCCATCATCATATCATAACTCAAGGAATCCTGCATCTATATTTATCCAGCACTAATACAATTGTCAGTTTTTCGAACTGAAACACAGGGCTCAAGGATACAGCTTACATAAGTGTCTTGCATTCACAGAATTAATCAGTTATTCGATAAGCACAGGGATCATGGAGAGAGCATTTAAAGAATGAAAACAAAGTTTGAACTTGCTCTCAAATGATTCACTAATAGAATACCAGCATTCATATTTATTTTTTCTTGCTTTTTTCTTCATGTTACCACTTATACCATGCTTTTTGCTCGACAAGAATGTCAATATCAAGAATGTCAATATCGTCTTGCAATTATCCATCGTTATTGTAAAATGTTTTTCTACTGCTTTAGGACTTCTAAGATACCTTATGACCAAGGTTTTAAAAATTGGCCGATATTATTGAAAAATGAGCAATATATCACAAATTCACTATGGCTGATACGATTTCTAAGAAAAAAATCAAAAAATCATTTTGGGCCGGTTTTTGCCGATAAATCGCTCAAAATCCGGTTTATTGCCCAATTTTACAGGGTCTTAAAATCAGCCAATTTTCTTAAAAATCTAACCTAAATATTGGTTTGGGTTTGCAAAACCACCATTTTATTAATCCGACTGGCAACTGCTAGGGGTGAGCACGGTTCGGTCCAAACCGACTGAACCGACCGAAAATTAGCGGTTCGGTTCGGTTTTAGATCTAAATCGGTTCGGATCGGGTTGAAAATTTTTCAACCCGAACCGTCCAAACCGACCGAACTAAGTCTAATAGCCTACCCAATACCCATTAACCCTCAAACAACCCGACCCGTTCCTCAAATATCAACGAGTAAACCAACCCTAAAATCCCAAAATCTTAGCCGCCACTTCCTCTCCTAAGTTCCTCTCTCTCACTCCCTGTCTGACACACTCCAAAATCTTAGCCGCCACTTCCTCTCCTAAGTTCCTCTCTCTCACTCCCTGTCTGACACACTCTCCAATCTCCATTTCCGCCTTCCGCGCTCGCCGCTCGGCACTCCGCCGCCAACCGCCAAATCCCTAGAAAATCGCCTATTTCTCTCTACTTAGTTCCTCTCCTTAGTTCCTCTCTCTCAGTCCTCTCTCAAGTACTCCCTCTCTCAAATTCTCAATCCAAATCTCTCAAGTCTTTAGATTTCTCTCTACAATCTTTTCACAATTACTCGTCAACAGGTTGGCATTATCATCTGCAAGATAAGCCCTAATTCTGATCGAGGTTTTGTGTACGATCTGATCCCAACTCCTCTCACCGACGGTGGATCTCCCACTTGCGCTCTCAAATCTGAACCTGCTACCAAAGAGGATAAGAATAAGGGATCCAGAGGCGAGAAATCTTCGAATGAGTCGCCGCTTTCGGTCGAAATTAACAGCGATTGAGTCGCTGAGCACACTAGACAAGTAAACAGAGGATTAATTTGAGAAATTTGTGATCTGGTTGAAGAATTTGGAGTGATTTTTTCTTTTGTTTTCAGGTTTCGAGAATGTTGATGGGTGGTATGCATGTGACTGGTGTTTATTTGTGGGCACCAGAGTCTTCGTTTAAAGGCTACTTCGCCTTCAATCATATCTCAGGTATTCAATTTGTTGACGGGTTGAAGAAAAATATTATCTTTTAGGTTCTTTATATGTGGAAAGACCATTTTTATTTGTAGTTTACTCTATGGCTAATTTTTTTGTCATTTTATTTTGGTGAATATTTTGCAAGTAACAAATGTGCGAAGATGAGTTTTAACTGTGCTATTTACTAGTAATTTGATTATGGAGGTCCTTGATGCAGTTTCTTCTTGAGTTAGATAATAGAACCGAACAAACCGAACCGAACCGCACCGAACCGACTTGCAACGGTTCGGGTCGGTTTTGAATAATGGGCGGTTTGGTTCGATTGTTCAAATTTTGATAAAAACTGAACCGAACCGAACCGTGCTCAGCCCTAGCAACTGCAACCCACAAAATAATAGGGAAAAAACCTAGCCCTAATTTCTCTCATTCTCCCCAATCTCTCTCTGTACTCGACGACTCTCTCTCTCTCTCTCCACACACACTCTCTCTCTCCCTCAGACCCTCTCCATGACAACTCTCTCTCTCCTCAACGACGAAGAGTCAAAGAGCCTCTCTCTCCGACACTCTCCTCGACAACCTTCTCTCTCTTCAACGATGACGATGACCCTCTCTCTCCTACAGACCCTCGATCACTTTCTTAAAGCCCCCCGCGCACCCACAAAGAACTTCTTAGACTCGAAGCCGCTTAAAGGCCTCAAAGCTCCCTCAAACAATTAGCTCCATTACGCGGTCAAGAAGCAAGTTTCAACAATTGGTTAGTGCTCTTAAACATGAGCTATTTTCATTTTAGTATATTTATGTTTCATTAAATATACTCATATTACATTTTAGGACATTATATTGTATATGTTCACCATCCGATATAGTACTCCAAATCTTATTACTAATCCCCAATGTATCCTCAATAACTAGGATTTGATATGAATTTTTGTCATCTGATATACTTCGATATCCGATATTTAAAACATTGCTAATGACTTTCTTAAAATCCAAGATTGAAAATGAGAAGAAGACTTCATTGCTCAAGTGTTGAGAAAATGAACATCTCTAGGTTTTCTTGTATATTTCTTTCATTATATAAAGAAAGAAATTTAGAAAGAAATTTTGTGTTCTCTTTCTTATCTCCTTTATTTGGTCCGATTGTGTGCAGTAATTAAATTGTCAACATATTTACAGGAAGCATGAGCTTGATCAAAGGAGTCTTCCACCAAACCAAAGCTCCAAAATAAAGGAGAGTGAAAAGTGAGTTTGTGCCCTTTTTAAAGGCTGAAACCCGGATTCATGCAATAATAACAATTTTTAAAGTCCTTTTTAGTTTTAAATTTGTGGCCAATGGGATTCGAACTGCTCTAGTACCATGGTAAAGGGAGTGTTATGCTACAACAAAACGCCAACGTTGTGGTGAGGGTGATAATATTACATTACAAGAAGTCTTAACGTGGGAGCACTATGATGAAATTTTAAATTAGTAGGTCCACTTTTCATTCTGGAGCTATGCTAACACTATGACCTCTCGCAATCTCTCCTTTCATGTACAATCTCAGTAGTCTAACCAAATCTACAGAATTCATGGACCCGCGTCAGATATTGACCACCCGTGAGTTCAACATCATCCCCATCTCAGCACTGAACACCCGTAAGTTGAATGGATAACCACCTACTACCATTTTTATAGATCTTATAAGCACACAAGTCTAGCAAGATGCCAACAAGGCTTCCTACATTTTTACCAAAACCTAGGCTAGTAAATCTTCAAACTAGTATAGGCGTCTTTGGAGTAATGAGGCCTTATGTCTGTTAGGAAATGACTCTAAAACAGAAAACTTGATGTTAATGTTGAGGAAAAAACCACGCCCCTAATATAGGAAAATAACTACTTTGATCCAAACAATTATCCAGTATCTATTTTCAAATTACTTCCTGATGGGGGTATCTCAATACTCTCGCCTTCCATTATTGATTGTATCAGGCTAACCAATATGAGAAAGTGAGAACCTGATGAAGAAATCGGCATCACCAATTAGTGACCTGAACATCGAAATTATCCTTAGTGCTAATCATTCTTGAAATTAGCATAACATTGAGCTTCTTGGTTACAACATAAAAAATCATATAAGCTATATGCCATTTCTTAAAGATTGAATTAGTCTACAACATCCTAAAACAAGAAATCCAAAAATTACAAACAAGAAATCAAGGAAAACGTGAAATTTGGAGAAAGTTGGTCCTTTTGTTATAAAACTTGCACCATCTTCTCTTGGCTGCATAGTTAGGTAAATGTCCCATGCATACTTAACAACAGAACCGCCCTTTTGCACTTACCCTAGAATTTATAGTTATACTAACACTACACTAAGTATCTTAAGCTGTAGACCAGTCCAACAACATACCTTCCAAAAGGATTAGTGTCACTTATGCATGCAGAAAAATAACAGAATCCAAGAATAAAGGCACCGATTGACTTTATATTATTCCCATGAGAGAATAGAAGTTCTCCAAATTCCATAACTTCTAAAATAAGTATCAGGATTTGTAGAAATAAGAAGGTTTCAACATAGTGAATATTAACTTCAACTAACAGATTGACAGAGTACATTTCAACCAATAGGGTTCTAATAACCAAATTTGCAATGTGCATTTTATTGTCATCTGCCCTCTAACATATGGCTTTTACACTGGCTTTCACATTGTAGCTGTCATATTGTTATCCTATTATCACAGCCGTCATGCTTGTAAAATCTAAGCTTTATCCTGTAAAATTGGATGTAATGATTAACAGGCAACAGAAAATCACATCCCATCCAATGGAACATACGAAACATAGTATGTTCCCATAACTTTGCCCCAAAAATGCAATTCATTTTTAGTTACAACCAGAGTATACTGAAATGTTTCTTTGTTAAAGGTATAAAACACAGAGACATAGACATTTCAGGTCACAAGAAATAGCCTGCACATCTCAGTTCCATGTAATTATTTCCAGATAGTTAGTCAGAATAGTGGCAACTTACATCCACGCCTTTCTAGAGTATCCAATGCAAGCATTTCCATTACAATCAACCCTTCTTCATTATATCCGTTGCATTAAACAGATTATACTTTCAATTATACAATGATAGTATACATAATAAAACTCAATAAAAAAACTTCTATAGTTACTAACTACAGTTCAAATCCATAATCAATGACTGATTTAATGATACCTCAAGAACTTCCTTGCTTCAATGATTCAACGTACTGAACTTTTCTTAAATAACCATCACCAATTTTGAAATGTGTTTCTACAAAGAGTTTATCTTTACAGTAGGAACAAAACGTAGGAGTGTTTATATGTAATCTAGTTTTAACACTTGGAAACGAAGCACCAGTCTTAGACTAAAGCCTTAGTGTATTGCTTTTCTTGGCGCATATTATCAAATTCAAAACAAGAAACTCAAAAATCTGTTTAAAAATCAAGCACTACCAGTTACTGATGTCAATCCAACACCACCAGTTTTTCTGCCATCCATCGATTTTATTTTCGGGTTATGAGATAATTCAACCAACAGTTTAGCTTTTTCCAGGTAACTAATCATGCAACAAAAGAATTTACATCTTTGTAGATGAAACATCATAGGCTCATAGCCTCATACACAACAATATTTCTTCCACAATCTCAACCTGAACCGAAACATACATTTTAAAAAAATGAGCACAGAAACTCTCCTTTTTCTTGCTACCCTTCAAGTGCATTACTTGGGTAAAACCAAGCATTTGCATAACTCCATAAGTACTGATCTTTAATAACATCCAAAAATGCTACTTAATCTTGTTCTAAAAAGTAACCCAATAAAAATTAGCCGAATAAATCTATCTTAAATTATGGTCCAAGATGGCTAATTTTCACCCAAAACAACAGTATATACAGCAAAAACATCAATTCAAGCCCTTCAACAACCTAGATCGCGCCCAAAATGTCAAACAATCAAAAAAGTGAAACAAATCAGACACTAAATTGACAGCTTTGGCGATAATCGTGTCCAAACGCACTCATAATACAACAAATAAATCAAAAATGAAGAGAGCATTACCTCAGAGGACGAATCGAAGAGCTAGGGTTTGGCGCGATCCCAATGGATAAGGCAACGTAACTGAGATCGGGCGATTATCTTATAGATGATGGATGAAATGAGACCAGAGGAGAGGTTTTTATAAGAAGCGAGGGTTTTTGCTAGGATTTTGTACATTTTCTTCGCTCTTGAAAGTTCGGGCGGATCTGGGCCGTTGATTCGTGAGGACTGCCCGTTTGCTTGGAGATTTGGCGGAAGAATCTAGAAAGGGGGAGGAGGAGTTTGGGTGCTGTTTGCCGCTTTGGGAGCTCGCACGCATCTCGGTGCGAGTCTTTTGCGCTTTGGGCTTTGGCTTTTGGGCGAGGCGGATCTGGGACTTTCGCTTTTGTGACGGATGTATCCTCCGGGCCGTTGCCGACTTCAATTGCAATTTATCTGGTTTTTTTGGGTAATAGTATTTTAAAAAATAACCCGTATACAATACGTGCGTTACACGTGATGCACATTAAAAAACTACAAAAGTTTAAATCTTTAATATGCAACTAATTTCACATCTATTTTTTAATACCAAAAGCACCAATTCTATCACTATTTATGAAACAGAGGTCATAACCTAAATATAAACTATGTTTGACGAAAAAAAGAAAAACGGAACCATTGTCTCTAAAAAGTATTCAAGCATTATGAAACTTTAAGTGTAACGGTGTGTCACTATGGTTGAAACTTGATTAATCTAGAAATCGATATGAAAAATGAATGGTTATTTGAAAACATTTAATAAAATTTGCATGAGAACATAGTAAATCATTCTAGGTACAATTGACCAGAAAGTCATTCATAGAAAAATTTATTTTTGATATGAAAATCGATGAAACTTTAGGAGATTAGATGCTAACTACAATTTGAGTAGGTATATATTGAATGTTGATGTGCCCAAACTATATCTAGCACGAGATCGTTATTTATATATTTTATTTTATTTTTGGTCAATAAGAAGGCTTCATTCACCATTGAACATTTGGGTTATATCACAAACTCAGCACAAAGACTTGAGCATAGAAAGTTATTAGATGATCAAGACACCTACAACAATCAATTGATCCTCGGGATGATAAGGACTCCACTGTTAGTATCCACGATGTCGCTAATCTCCCCAACCTTCAGAGCAAAGGCAGCTTCCTTAAATGGCTTCTGCATCTGTCCCCACCCAAAACGATCTGCAGGATAATAATTAAAAAGATCAGGAGCCAAAGTAATAGATCACTTAATAGATAATAGGATATCAGTGTTTCTGTTTAACACGATATGGGAACATTGAAGATATTATACAACAAGGTGAAACTCATGCAAAAAATTATTTTCAAGGAGCTTTCTTTCCATGATAATCTTAATTATTTAAATGTTATGTGTTTGTTGCAGAAGGACCAGAAGGGGATACAAATACGGATATGATGCTACGTGTCATTAAATGCTCTGTCTTAATCCCCTTCTGGTTCTTTGTCAATTTCATCGAGGTTAAGAAATTTTTTGTGTGTATGTATAGTATTATGTAATCCAAAATGACCCGAACAATCTCAAAGAAAATTGTATCCCCAACAATCACTCTAACATTATCCCCATTGCATTGCATCCGCTGAGGTTATAACATCTAATAAAATTTAAAAACGAAATTCAGTACAAGTGAATAGAGTACCTCCGAGATGTCATCATTAACACTATCCGCAGAGTACGTGGGAGATGGCAAGGAATATGCCGTCTCTTTTAAGATGTTCTTCTCCCGCTCCCTGTTAGCATCCATGAGAGCATTTTGTAGAAGAATTTTGGCATCGTTGTTGAGTTCGTTGATGAACTTGAGTGGAGAAGACCGAACCTGAGGCTCTGCTGTTGATGGGTTCAGTATAGCAGCACATGCACCATGATTTCGTTTTAGTACAATGGTATATGGTATTCTTCTGCATAGCGAAATGGACAGATCAATGACCACGTATTACTACTTGTTAACATTTCAAAGCATAACCACAGATTAGACCTATTATACATAGAGAGAAATGTGTGAGAAAAAATGAAGTAAACTGAGACTGATCAACAGCAGAGCCAAATTAATATTCTACCATATCCAAAAATTGACATCACAACTTCTGAAAATAAGAGATGTAAAAGACAAATAACTCCAGCACATTAATGGAGATGACTCTAAAAACAATGGCAATTGATGCATACCCAGATGAATATCTCTGAAGACAATTGGCGCCCCAAGCGAGCAACTCCCGAACAGAATCCAAACACCCTCCTCGAGCAGCCAAGTGAAGAGGACTACTCCCGGGGCATCTTCAATTGACAAATTATCAGCTAAATCCTAATAAGTATGAAGTTATAAACGGTAGAATGCCCACGGTTCAAAACACCATAACTTCACATTCAAACAAAAGGGTGAAATGACACATTACCCATATCCACCAGTCGGTGCACTAACAAGAGCTCCTTTATCCAGTAAAATATGAACACATTCTGTCTCCTTTGCCTCACCGCTAGATGCAATGGCGTCGGCTCATTGTTATCGATAACATTTACAAATCTAGAAAATCCTCTGTAATTCAACAACAATAGCCACCTTTAAGCTTATGAATTTATAAGCTAAAATCATATTATTCTTGTTGAGACTCACCAAGAATCAACAACTGAGGTTGAAATGGCAGCAGATAGAATTGCTTCTAAGCAATCCGAATGGCCGTAATATGCAGCATAATGCAAACAAATTCTACCATGCAATGAATCAAACATCAAGATTTGAAACAACATATTAAACCAAAATTATGTTCTCTTTAAATCTCAACATAGTATCAAAACTACTAAAATAACACTTGAGGAAGAGTATTTCTTACAGTAGCTCCAGCTTCAAGTAGCTTCTCCACACAAGAAATTTTTCCATGCTTGCAGCAAGCATCAATGGACATTTTCCTTTCTGTTGCACATGTTTTTTCTTAATTGCCCAACATTCTAATCCAAATAGTTATGTGAATACATGTAGAAGCTTGCCATAAATTAGAGAAATGTATGCCGATAGATAGAGATCATATGCAACTCCTTTAAAGAAAGGAAGCCATAACTAAGTTAGTCTTGATATGCACCATAGTTTCATCCTCACTATTTACTTGAAATTCAAGCAGACACAGGTAAGAGAGGTCAATACGCAGTCAGCAAAAAGGAAAAATAATAGTTGAGTACATGACTTACAGCTTCACCAAGCCTAGAGCTTGCGATGGATATGGTTAGATTATTGCTTGGGAACTGGAACACCCAGTCAGGCATATACAGACCATGCAGTAAGCCAATATATACAGATGAAAGCAAGATGGCAACCATCCTTCACAAATAACAGGTATTAGAGTATTATTATGTAAAGATAATACCATAATATATTTATAAATATATTTTCCATGCAAATTAGGATCACCACAATCAACCAGTACTGGCACATGATTACACCATGTAGTTTGTGTCATTCATCTGTAATGAATTCCAGCCAGGATACGAGTAGGAGGACATGAGCAACATGTGTCTTTGGTCATTCATATATCATGAATTCAAGCTAGGATACCAGTAATTGGACGTGAATTACAGACTGTATCTTGTACCATTCATCTATAATGAACTCTAGCTTGAACTTCCATAAAATCAGTTGACAAATGCCAAAAAGAACTTGTAGTTCATTGAGTTTTTAAATTTATACTGAACTTCCATAAAATCAGTTGACAAATGCCAAAAAGAACTTGTAGTTCATTGAGTTTTTAAATTTATACTACTGGCAGAATTTAACATCTAATTCGCATATGGGGCTGTATGTAGAAAATTTGTAATAAAAATAATGAAAGAAAATTGACTTGTATTCCTTCGATTTCAATTACAATTCGATTATAAAAGAGAGGAGAATAAATTTGATTCTCCTCTTTGTTTAAAACTGTGTTCTTCTCGGTAGCGATGGAGTGCCTCTTTCGAATGTTTGCGTCGAATTTGCTCTCCGTTGACGATCCAACCGTTTTTATCTCATAGGAACAGTGAACTTTCATGGGAAATTTGATGAGTAACTCTTAGTGAGTTTTAGAACTCAGAACGAGTTAGAACTCTGTGAAAAGAGTTGTTAGAACCGAATAATCGGTTAATAAGCCAAATAGATTTGTTTGTTGCTGAAGAATCCGATCTCTTAACTGCTGAGAACTCTACTGATTTCGTAGATGATTTGATCTTTAAAATCTAGCCGAACTCCCCCCTCAATCTGAACTCGGTGCAGTTTAGATCTCCAAAATCTTCAGCCCCTTTACTCGATTGAGTAAGGCGGTTATTTATAGGAGGATAAGGGGTGTAACCAACCCCTAAATCCTCTCCTAAGTGGGCGAAAATCCCTCAAATCGTGGGGGAATCGGTTCTGAAACCGTTCGACTCGTGTTTGAATGAGTCAAACGTCCAATTTGGCGTTCAGGACCCTAACTTAACGTCTTAGAATTAAGACGCGGAGTTGGGTGTTGCCTGAACGTCAAAAACGCGAGGACCGCTCGCATTTTGCTTGTTGCAGCTTGGAAATGCGAGGATCGCCTGCATTTCAAGAATTGTAACGCGAAGATGAGTTCCGCGTTTTAGAAGAGGCTATTTGACTTGTAACCTCTTCTGTAGAGCGTTGCAAGGATCATTATTCAGTAATCCTCGCGTTAGCTGTTATGGGGTGTGAAAGTCGTCTGATTGTAACTCTCACCGTTGATTGTGAAGATCGCTGAATAGAGTTTTTATCAGTTGTTAGAAGTGTCGTTGAATTGTAACTCTTCTCGATGAAAAGTCCTTCGTCTGCAGCTTGCATTTGTTGGCATGAAAGTTATCTGATTGTAACTTTCGTTGTTAAAGCTTGATGGGGATCATCTATCTATTGTGATTTTTAGACAGCCTACAAGGGCTTGAACGTTGAGTCACATTGTGGAATTGAACAACCTCCAATCCAGCTTCAACTCCCCAAGCCACTTTTAACTCCTGCTATCATCATTGCATGTCTGTGAACCACAGTTTTTGCACCTTTCACCAGAATATTGAATGTTCCATTATAGTGCAGACTACGGAAGCGTGGTATTTTCATTCAGATCAAATTAAACTTTTGATAGATCACGATACTTATAAGAATCACATGTATACATAAAGATAAACAAATACAACATTATTAAGAAAATATCATAAAAAATAAAATAACTGTAAGAGGAAGTTCTAACACTTCTTTACTTCACTCTTTCTGTAGAATAACAAAAATGGACACATTTTAAGCAAATAACGATTAACATAACTAACCATTTGGTGTAGTATTTCTTCACGAATGACATTGGAGAATCCACCAAAATATTGCTGATGAGC